CTTTGTGTGAGCAGGCTGCCGGTCCAGGAAACTGCGCACTTCAGGGCTGGCCGTTGTTTGGAGCAAATAGTCACTTTGTCAGTGACATTGGGTCTCATTTCCAGGTGGAAATCGACGTCTTGCAGATAAGCTTGGACATCCTGGCTACCTGGCACACTTGGGGTGAATTTTCCAATGTTTCTGGCGAGCTTGTCGAGGTCTTTGAGGTCCAAGCCATGCGATGCTCTGTGGCTGGCTGGAGCAAGTTCTTTTAGCTTTGCCGTGAGGTAACGTTCTTCAGAGGGAGCTGGTGAATGTTTCATCACTGCCCCCTCCCCCTTTTGCTCACTCATCAAGTCAAGTCAAGTCAAGTCAAGTCACCTTTATTTATATAGCGCTTTTAACAATACAGATTGTGACAAAGCAACTGAACAGCATTAATTAGGAAAATAGTGTCAATAACGCAAAATGACAATAGTAAACACTCATTTTTCAGTTAAAGACAGTTCATCATTGAATTCAGTGATGTGCATTACAATAGTCCAGTCTAGAGGTCATGAATGCATGAACTAGCTTTTCTGCATCAGAAACAGGTATCATGTCCATCATCAGTCCAGGAACAGGTGAGCCGGTCCTGCTTGGCAGGGGTGAGACTGGTGCCTGTCGGGTCCTTGTAGGCTCAGGGTGCAGCTCGTAGTCATGTCGGACTTCTCTTTGATGTAGTCCAGCTGTTGTGTTAGGCGACTGATCTCATTTCTTGACTCATCCAGGTGAGTTTCAAGGGCTTTAATTCGGGCGTTCTTGTAATATTCACATATAAACTTTAACGTCCAATTAAAAATATTTGTATAGTAAAATTCGCTAATTCATGAGATCAATACATCCTTTATTAGACCGCTTTGTTGGGTTAAATGCATTCTTACGGAGGTGTCGAAATGCTGAATCAATTCATTCACTTCCAACAGCGCTTAATGGGAGCAGCGTCATAGATGGCAGAGCGTCACGTTATTTAAAGGGGACATTAACGCGTTAACGAGTAGCAAATGATTAAGTAGCTGCATTGGTTACTTTTATGCCACTGATAAAGCTTGTAAATGTAGTTTGGGGTAACAAATGGGTTTTATAGGTTTGACTGAAATAATAATGCAATAACTGACACTTTAAAACAATGTTTCAAGAAACAACAACAAAACAATTTAACAAAAAACAGATAAAGACAAAAAAGTATCCATTGATAATATCAAAACAACATGTAGTAATATAGTATCCAAATCAAAATGTAATAAAATTAATTTATGTGTGATTTATGTGTAAATTATGTGCAATGTCTTAGCCACTAGGGATTGTTACATAGGGCTATACAGGCATCTAGTGGCAACACAATGATATTACAGATACTAAATTGTGCAAAATGTTTATTTTAACAATTCAATTGTTAAAAAAGTAATTCAATTTACAAATGCATTCAGATTTGTGGAACTCAATGCACTGAATATCCACAAATTAGTGTTGTTACTATGACAACCAATTTGAATGTGACAAGCAACTGGTGTCTGAAAAAAATTATATATATATATATATATATATATAGGGATATCGCCTAGGGCGTCAAATTGGCTAGAAACGGCACTGGCTAGAGTTCTTACTAGAACCAGGAAGTATGACCATATTAGCCCCATTCTGTTAACACTGCACTGGCTCCCTATTAAACATTGTATACATTTTAAAATCTTGCTAATTACTTCTAAAGCCCTGAATGGTTTACCTCCTCAGTACATGAGTGAACTCTCATCGCATTATAGTCCTTTACGTCCGCTGCAATCTCAAAACTCTGGCCATTTGATAATACCTAGAATATCAAAATCAGCTGCGGGCAGCAGATCCTTTTCCTATTTAGCGCCCAAACTCTGGAAAAAGAGTTTAAAGTTGTTTGAGAGGCAGACACACTCTGTCAGTTTAAATCTAGTGTAGCAAATTAGCTCAAAAGTGACATGTATATAAATAATTACAATTAATTATAATTATTTACAATTATTTACCTCAGCTGCCAGTAGTACCTGTAGCAGAATTAATATTACAATCAACTAATCTGTTCATCCAGCGAACATTCGGTGTAATTTCATATTAACTCAACGAAAGGATATTTTTGTGACCACAGAAAATAACTTTCTTACAGTACTAATGCATTAGAGCATGTAGCTATAGATCGGATCTTAAAAGGGACACTATTCACAAGCGGTGACAGAACCAGAAACTCATGTAATATGTGCACAAAAGTTTTATGAACTAAACACTAACACATAACTAATCTAAACAAACATACAAATCACTCACACATGGGGAAGTAGAAGTGGATGAATGAAACTGGAAAATGAGTCAGTTAACCAGTGAAACCATACGCACAATGACATATGGGCATTATGTGTTTTTTCTATGAGTAAAATGAGTAAGAGATGCTTTGCCCGCATTCCTTTGAGCAACAAAACCAGTGTTATCAGATGATTTGTCTTTGGTTGCCATTGAACCAGAGGCCTGTTCTGCCTTTTTGAGGTGTTAGTTGCATTTCGGGGGAAGGGTCCATAGACCCTCATAGTTGGCTTGTTGGTTGGGTGAGGGGTGTTAGGGATTATTTGTTGAATATAACAAATAATTGTGTGTCTGATTGGTCCACACGCTATACTAGATTAAAGACCCATCTCTTTAACCTGACATACACATAACACACTATCATATTTCTATGATTCAAATCCGTTCATCCATATGATTCAAATCCAAATTCAAAGGATTGTTAGGCTGCATTAATTAGGTCGACCGGGAACATCTTGCTACATCGTAAGAAGAATGGCATCTATGCTAATATTGGTCTCTTTCATTCTTATTCTGAGGTCACCGTAGCCACCGAGATCCAGTCCGTATCCAGATCAGATGGAAGTCACTGCAGTCACCCGGATATGGTCTGTTTCCTGTCCAGATGGTGGATCAGCACCTAGAGACGACCTCTACAGCCCTGAATGTCAGCGGAGACCATATCAACTAGACGAGCCCTAGACACAGATCCCCAGCGAAGATCCCTTCGGCCAACGGCACAAGACCATGAGAACCAGACGAGTCCTCTGCTCAATCTTACTACGTTGCAGTCTGGAATTAAACCACACCATGCTGGTTTTGTCTGGCCAGAGGAGAACTGGTCCCCTGGATCCTCTCAAGGTTTTTTTCTCCATTTCTGTCACCGATGGAGTTTTGGTTCCTTGCCACTGTCACCTTTGGCTTGCTTAGATGGGGACACAATTTCTGGCAATATTGTTGACTTGATTGAACAAACACTATTTGAAGAGAACTAAACTGAGCATCACTGAATCAACGATAAACCAACTTTACTAAAAAGCTGTTTTCTATTGTCCTTTTGCATTATCAGCACACGTGTTCCCTGTCTAACACTGTGAAGCTGCTTTACACAATCTGTATTGTATAAAGTGATATTTAAAGGTGACGACTTTTTTTTACACATTTAGTGGGGGTGGCCAAACAGATGAGGTGGGTTGATTGTAGTCTTTTTGTAGGTGGGTAACTTGTTATAGGATCTGCTTGGACAGGTGACGCACCTTCACAGTACCCTCCATCCCTACATGAGCAGACACCCATAAAAAGCTGACCCATGTTCCGAACAGTCTGTTAAAAGTTTCAGCATGAAGGATTTTTTGCCTTGATGTAGAACACTTAACTATCTTGTTAATGCTGAATATGAATCTGAACAAATCACCAGAGGCCTTATAAACAACCGTGTTCTGTCACTTCCTGTTGGACATTTACAGGCGAGCCAAATAAAAAAAATTCTCCATTCTTTAGCCATACTAGAATTAACAGTTTTGTGTCATACAGAAACCAATACTCTTGTTTGTGCATTTAGTAACAAACTACACAGTGTCAATTAACTTATTTCAGGAGTGAGTCTTATTTACTTACAGGACTGCATCAAAATGTTGAGAGCACAAGATGCAGAACTCAAACAAGATGGATCCAAGGTAGAAATCACACAAGATCAAAGACTGCACAGCCTACATTATAAACCTTGTTATATGAAATACAAAATCAGTGTCCACTCCTGTTCAAGCTTCCAGCATTGTAAAGTTCTGCAGTACACATTAGGGTTAACAATCTAGTTCATTACACCAACTCTTGTTCTTAAGCTTTGCACACTTGTATTGCAGGTATGAAAACACATTCTCTTACACGGTCAAACAATATTTACATGTACGTTTCTCTCTGCCAGTCTATTCCAACTCCTTCACTCGCTCTCTCTCAAAAAAAAAAAAAAAAAAAACAAAAAAAAAAAAAAAAGAGGCCTTATAAACAACTGTGTTCTGTCACTTCCTGTTGGACATTTACAGGCGAGCCAAATAAAAAAATTTCTCCATTCTTTAGCCATACTAGAATTAACAGTTTTGTGTCATACAGAAACCAATACTCTTGTTTGTGCATTTAGTAACAAACTACACAGTGTCAATTAACTTATTTCAGGAGTGAGTCTTATTTACTTACAGGACTGCATCAAAATGTTGAGAGCACAAGATGCAGGACTCAAACAAGATGGATCCAAGGTAGAAATCACACAAGATCAAAGACTGCACAGCCTACATTATAAACCTTGTTATATGAAATACAAAATCAGTGTCCACTCCTGTTCAAGCTTCCAGCATTGTAAAGTTCTGCAGTACACATTAGGGTTAACAATCTAGTTCATTACACCAACTCTTGTTCTTAAGCTTTGCACACTTGTATTGCAGGTATGAAAACACATTCTCTTACACGGTCAAACAATATTTACATGTACGTTTCTCTCTGCCAGTCTATTCCAACTCCTTCACTCTCTCTCTCTCAAAAAAAAAAAAAAAAACTGAAGAAAAAAGAAAAAACATGCGTGCAATGTGCACATGCCACAGGCTCCACTGTTTCTGTTGAGTACTGTCTGTATCTCAATCGTCAGTTGTCTCCAGAACACTCTGACTCAGAGCCAAGTCCCAGTAGTGCTCAGTGCCATGCTTCTTAAAATGTTCCCTAGCCATACTTTCTGTTGGACACTGTTTAAACTTAACCTCCCCGTAGCTACGTTCCTTGGCTGTACCCTGAGAGAGAGAGAAAAAAACGTATATATTTAAGTCCACAAAGGATAATGAGAAAAAGGAAGACAAACTATCTCATTATATTATTTAGTGTCTACTTGGATATCAGTAAAAACCATACAAAAGTGAAATGTTGTTCATGACAAACATCTCCGCTTACTATCGTAACCCCAGTTCAATGAGACATCAGGTTTCTCCGCTATGGGAACTCCTTCCCTTCCGGCCTTTCTTGAAGTCCTATTGGCTCTCGCCTGTCCAAATGAGGCATGCATAGTAAAACCACATGACACACTGCTGATGCTGCTGCCATGAGTCCCAGCAGCCTCTGAAATTCCTTCAAGTGAACAGAGTTGCCTAGTCTGAAATGGTGCAGGGAAGACAAAATGGCCACCGAGCACTCCTGAGAGAGACGGGCACACATCTCCACTGAGTTGAAACACACCCCCAGATATTTTATAGACCGACTCCGGGCGAGAATGCTTTTCTGCACGTTGACACATAGCCCCCCTTCAGCGTCATCATTCTGAATGGACGGTTGCAAAGCGCTCTGTTGATAAGCCTTAGATCTAGTATCGGACGGCGTCCCCCATCTTTTCATCTACCATGAAATAGCAGCTGTAAAACCTGCCCTCCAGCTCGCTTGGAGGGACTCGCTCTATTGCTCCTTTTTCGAGCAGGCTGCATACCTCTTGTCTCAGAAACAGGGCATTTTGAGGCAATGTTAGAGAGTGCACCACACCATTGAAATGGGGTGGTCTGCGTCTGAATTGAAGGATATACTCACGCTCTATCATACGGAGTAGCCAGCGTGAGATTCCCCGAATAACTTCCCACACGCTCAGGAACTGACATAGCAGCTTTAGCGGCTTGGTCGTTGGATGTGCCGGCAAGTGCTGCGTGGCTATAATCGGTGAAGGTGACGGCTCTGAGTTGCTCAGTAGCAATGGCTCAATGGTATGCGGTATTTTTGCCATATATATATATATATATATATATATATATATATATATATATATATACAGTGGGGGAAAAAAAGTATTTAGTCAGCCACCAATTGTTCAAGTTCTCCCACTTAAAAAGATGAGAGAGGCCTGTAATTTTCATCATAGGTATACCTCAACTATGAGAGACAAAATGAGTATAAAAAAAATCCAGAAAATCACATTGTAGGATTTTTAAAGAATTTATTTGCAAATTATGGTGGAAAATAAGTATTCCACCTCCATATTTCTAAACAGGCTGTCAGTCAGTGGAGTTAGATTGTTGCGCCACAAGGTGGCGGCAAGGGGCTGTCTTTGAGTTAGCCTTTAAACCGCTCATTCAACTACTCGTTCAAAAACGCTGATTCAACTACTCGTTCAAAAACGCTGATTCATTCAAAGAGAGATGATGAAAAACGCTGTTGAAATCCTTTTAACTTTGAGCGCCACGTTAGAAGGCTCAGCTGACCAATGTGTCGATGCTAAGACAGAGATTTGGCTTTCCTTGGACATGACAACCTATTTTCACAAATATTTATGACTCGCAAGTAATTCTGTACAAATCAGCATGGTACACATTATGTTATCAATACGAACTTATTTAATATTCAGCACACATGCACGAAGTGTAAAACGAGAAGGGCATAACCCTATGAAAAAAGAAAACGTAAAAATCGGTTGCTGCGGTTCTTGCATTCCTCTGCGGTTTGGTTGTCAAAAATGCGGTATTGCGATAATCGCGACAGCCCTAGCGAGCAGCACTGCATCAACTGAGTGAGGAGGGAAAAGCTATGTATGCTTATTTTATTGAACACATGTTTATCAAACACAAACAATTTCTGGACAGCTTGTGGCACTTGGGGGCCTGCCCTCGTCTCTGGGCTGTCAGGACGACGGCTTGGCAGCTGGCGGAAGTCGCGGTGCAGGCTCCTCCGCTGGCCGTGGCGCCTCTTCCCGGGGTCCCCATACCTTCCTCCGCATATCTGACTTCTGGTGAGGGGCAGCAGCAGTCAAGGTAGTGGTGTCCCTCCTCTGCACTGGACCGGGTACCGAAGAAGACAGGGATCTCACGGCCTGCTGCTGGAAAGCGCGCCTCGACATCACGTGACTCATCACTTTGGCGCGCTTTTGAGCCTCCGCGAAGCAAAGCGAAGACTCCATGGCATCACCTAAGAGGCCGGAGGGAGTCACCGGGGCATTAAGGAGAACTTTACGGTCCTCATTCTTGAGGTCAGCTAGGTTCAACCATAGGTGCCTCTGAAGGACAACCATAATGCCCATCGCCTTACCGATCATCTGAGCACTTTGTGACCATCAAAGCGAAGTCATTAATGGCATCCGGTGTGATGGCTCCACCCACCGCCATCTGCAGGAGCTTCGCCTGAAACACCTGCAGCACCGCCATGGCATGCAGCACTGAAGTCGCCTCACCGTCCGCTGCGTAGGCCTTGTTAGCGAGGTGGGCAGTGGTCCTGCACAGTTTAGGTCCTGCACGGCAGGCTCCTCCGGAAGGCTCCAGGTAAGCTCGAGCTCCTGGACAGCTTTCGTCATGACCCTCACGAGCTCCTCCTGAAGGTCTGGGGGCCCCTCACTGTCAGGGCAGTCACGCTCCGATCCCACCCAATCCTCTTTCTCAGAGGCCGAGATGGACATAGAGTCCTCATCCTCTTCCTCCTCGCCGAACGACACGAAGTCTTCGATGCTCGGAGGTGGGTGGAAGCAGTCCTTGGGGAAGGTGACTGGGGAACGGGGTGACCGCTGAGGATGGCGGCGCGGCGAGTTTTCGCTCCTTCCTCCGGGAGGGGGCTGGGGGGGGGTTTCCCACCAGCAGCACCTGGCGGCAGTGGGCCTCACCCCAAACGAGCCACGTTGCGGTGAGTCCGAAGCACGCGGGCTGGCAGGTTCACGCAATGCCCGCAGTCGGACTCCTCCAACGCCGCCAAGCCAAGGCAGGCGACGCAGTTATCATTTTGATCTGATGGTTCAATTGGTCCCGTGCAGGTCTTACAGAATGAAGCCATTCTTCAGGTTGTATTGGACAAATAAGTAAAGATTCTGATGTAATTGTCGTGTGCACCGCATTTTATACTGCCTCTCAAGCTCTTTAGTATTCGCACACTTCGTGACAATTGGCTAGTTAATTGGACTGGCGTGAGCCAATAGGACTTCAGGAAAGTTTGGAAGGGAAGGAGTTCCCATAGAGGAGAAACCTCCACGATGTCTTGTGAAAGCTTGAAAGGGAACTACTGAATATTTTTTGGTAAATGTTCCATTGGTTTACATTAGAATATAACTGGTATCCATTTACCTCCCAAACCAATGTGCATTTATTATTCTTCCTGGAACCCTCATCACCTGAATCTTGAGGCTCTAAAAGAAATGTAAAAGGTCAGCTCCTAATAACAATCAACAAGTCTCCATCTTTTATCATTCTTAATTTCCCTTACCATCTCTCTTGGAATTCAGTTCATCCCATTTGATTCTATTCAACATCAGTCGTTTAAATTTCTTCTGTGCTTTGGGGCCTACAGGGTGTATTAAAAAGTATCAATTAATACATGAATAAAAATCCTGAAAAAAATAATAATTATAATAAAAATAACCATCTGTGAATAGAATCATCTATAAAGATTCTCTAATCACTTTCACCCACCTCCCTCCACTACTATGATGTTGACGTCTTTGTGAAGTACCACGGTGCCAGTGAGGTACAGTTGGTTTGCATTGGCCTCCACCTTAAACTTCTTGGCTGGGTTGTGCAGATTTCTGATTCTGAAGGCAAAGCAGATAAACTATTTGAGTAAACAAATTAGCACAAAAAAAAAAGTTTTCTTCTACCCGGGCCAGTGATGACAACTGATTGGTGCAGAACCAAGTCAATGTGCATGTGACCTGCGGTTACAAAGTATGCGCGGTTGCAAAAGTCAGATGGTGTGCGTACAGTACACGTGTATTGTTTTGTTATGCAGACCCTCGTGTATGCATTAGGGATGTGCATCTCATGACTCAGGCCGATACAAAACGCATAGGGCTGGACAATAATTCAATATCAATATGTATCGCAATATATTTTTTTTCAATAACGGTGATATGGTTTTTAAACACATTTCCGATATAGCCTACATTACCAGTGTTTCCCATACATTGATTTATTTGTGGCATTTGACTTCATTGAATAAACATGAGCACTGCACGTTTTAAAATCAAAACTTGTCGCGGGTGTTTTATATTAATGTAGCTCTAAAGGGAAAGGACTATCTTCTGAAAAGTTTCAATGGGATTTTTATTTTATCTAATAAAGAAGTGTTCATGAGCGGAGCTGATTTGATTACAGCCATTACTGGAGAAACCGCTAGTTCAACCGCTCTGGTTTGCATTGGCCTCCACCTTAAACTTCTTGGCTGGGTTGTGCAGATTTCTGATTCTGAAGGCAAAGCAGATAAACTATTTGAGTAAACAAATTAGCACAAAAAAAAAAGTTTTCTTCTACCCGGGCCAGTGATGACAACTGATTGGTGCAGAACCAAGTCAATGTGCATGTGACCTGCGCATACAAAGTATGCGCGGTTGCAAAAGTCAGATGGTGTGCGTACAGTACACGTGTATTGTTTTGTTATGCAGACCCTCGTGTATGCATTAGGGATGTGCATCTCATGACTCAGGCCGATACAAAACGCATAGGGCTGGACAATAATTCAATATCAATATGTATCGCAATATATTTTTTTTCAATAACGGTGATATGGTTTTTAAACACATTTCCGATATAGCCTACATTACCAGTGTTTCCCATACATTGATTTATTTGTGGCATTTGACTTCATTGAATAAACATGAGCACTGCACGTTTTAAAATCAAAACTTGTCGCGGGTGTTTTATATTAATGTAGCTCTAAAGGGAAAGGACTATCTTCTGAAAAGTTTCAATGGGATTTTTATTTTATCTAATAAAGAAGTGTTCATGAGCGGAGCTGATTTGATTACAGCCATTACTGGAGAAACCGCTAGTTCAACCGCTCTTAAAGCGCCTCCTGCTGGCAGAGAATCAGTTTGCACTTTTCATACTCTTTATACTGGCTATCAGCCTACACTACCAGTCAAAAGGTTTTGAACAGTAAGATTTTTTATTTATTTATTTATTTATTTTTAAGAATTTTCTTCTGCTCACCAAGCCTGCATTTATTTGATCCAAAGTACAGCAAAAAAATTTAAATATTTTTACTATTTAAAATAACTGCTTTCTATTTGAATATATTTTAAAATGTAATTTATTCCTGTGATCAAAGATGAATTTTAAATTTCAATATAATAATAAATTATTTTTGAGCAGCAAATCAGAATATTAGAATGATTTCTGAAGGATCGTGCGACTGGAGTAATGATGCTAAAAATATAGCTTTGAAATCACAGGAATAAATTACATTTTAAAATATATTTCAAAATGTTACCGTTTTTGCTGTATTTTGGATTTAAAAAATGCAGGATTGAAATAATTTCACATTTCTTATTTGAATGAAGGCTAAATACAAATAAAAGGTGAACAACGCGTGCACGTATTTGTACTGATGCAGAATAGTACAGACTAGCGCATTTCACACAAGCTGCTAGATTCACTTTCGCCAGAAAGTCGTGTATGCCTAAGGTTGAAAATAAATAATGTTTATAGTGAATACCCCTATGAATGGTTTTGTTTTTACGATTTCGTTTTAATCCAAATGATGCGTGTGCTGAGTGAGTGAACATCAAAGATCACACAACAGAAGTGCGCGCGCGCGCGCTCTCTCTCGCTCTCTCTCTCGCGCACACACACACACACACTTTTAAAATATATTTCAAAATGTTACCGTTTTTGCTGTATTTTGGATTTAAAAAAAATGCAGGATTGAAATAATTTCACATTTCTTATTTGAATGAAGGCTAAATACAAATAAAAGGTGAACAACGCGTGCACGTATTTGTTCTGATGCAGAATAGTACAGACTAGCGCATTTCACACAAGCTGCTAGATTCACTTTCGCCAGAAAGTCGTGTATGCCTAAGGTTGAAAATAAATAATGTTTATAGTGAATACCCCTATGAATGGTTTTGTTTTTACGATTTCGTTTTAATCCAAATGATGCGTGTGCTGAGTGAGTGAACATCAAAGATCACACAACAGAAGTGCGCGCGCGCGCGCTCTCTCTCGCTCTCTCTCTCCCTACCGTTAAGTAACTTGTGCATTGTTTTACTTGCTTGTTTTTGACATATCCGACCGAACTACAAACTTTCCAGTGATGTCTGTGAGAAAGATATATTCACTCGACAAGCTCGCGCATCTGCGCCGCTGCGCGCTCAATCCACTCAGCGTGCTTTGTTTATCAGCTCGCGCACATCAGCTATACAGGCGTTAATACTGAATAATTAATATTATATTCATTGCATACATATACGTCGTAGTAGACATCCTTAACTCCTTTCTGCTGTCTGTTGTTGGTGTTTCTTTGTCTGAATATGGCGCTTATCACATGCTGTGTGGTATCGGCGTTTGGTATCAGGGCATTTTAACGAGTACAGGAGACCAGTATCAGGCCCGATACCGGTATCGGTGCATCCCTAGTTTATACCTTTTTTTTTTTACAGTTTCTAGCCATGCAGCCTTTCTCTCTGGTTTTATTATAGCTGTACCTTTTATAGTTTGCAGAACAGATAGCAGAACATTAGAATATTACAATCTAAAATTGCTCTTTAAAGCATTAAGACTACATTTTAACTGCTATATGAAACACACATTAACTCATTAGAGCTTAGTAATTAGTACTGTAGCCTACTAGTTTACATTTGATTTACCTATTACAACAGTCCACTTACAGTTACTGCTATCATAAAAATACACTTTATATGTAGGTTTAAAATTCTACAAGACACATTTAATGTCCAAAAACTAATTTTTAGCAAAATGTATATTTTACTCAGAATTATTGCACTCCTATTTGATTACGCTCCGTCTGTTTAGCGCGCATGCGCGCAGCAGTGCTCATTCACTCGCATCAGCCTCGCCCACCCGACAGCAAAATGGATATGTTGCATGATTTTCTAACATCTACAGATGAAAAATATACTTGTGACATGTCAGTTATGCACTGAGGAAAACACAACGTCTCAAATGCATTAAACAGCACAGATATATTCGCTGTTTGTCATGGTGGATCGATTTGATCCATGATCGACATTAAGGTCTGCTTAAAAATAAGCGTGCACAAATTAGTGAGATTGTGTGAATTTAATTTGTCGTTAATGGAACTGCTTTAGCCCCGATTGATTTGTTAGGTTATTTCAAGTCAGCTTTTGGACTTTAATCCCAGTTTTTCCTCGGGTCTCCGTGGTGTTGTGATGCGTCATTTTCACGCAGCAGCAGTAGTGATGAGAGAGCGCGCTTGAGAAACAGTTTAGAGAGGAGAAATCAATCTACATATAAAATATTGGTCACAGATTATTGGTCACTTTCTAAATAATAAAAGTATAACGCATCCACTAGTAATTATATATAAATGAATCGGTTTTGTGGATTTATTGTGGAGTGAGGGGAACTAAAAATGCATGCTTATAATGCGTGTAAACAACTCATTTTATTCACCAGATTCACCAGTATTTTACATTATTTCTGAGTATAATAATAAAATGTGACTGACAAACTCAGTGTTTCCCCTAGGTTTACAGCTTTGGGGGGGTTCCGGTTTCTTTTTTTCTGGACTCCTTTTTAATGGTTAAATTACATTTTATCAATCAAAAAGCATGTCTAATTAATTAAAATCATGAAACTTAAACAATTTAACATCACTTTA